AGGTATTGTAATGATCAAACTGAAAAAAGTTTGGGAAACTGCAGAAACTCAAATTTTTTCTCTAGAAAACGGTTATGGACAGAAAAATTCGAAACGTTGCGTTATTGACAATGAAATTATTATTCTAGTAGGCATTTTCATCTTCTACAACCTGGAAAAATTGTAATTGAAAACATTTTATAGAGGTAGAAAAGATGAACTACCCCCTGATACGTTATTTTGTGAACACCAATATACATTTCGGACAATATCTTATGTGTCAGTAACTTGTTATGTTTCACTCCGCTGAAAAATGAACAGAATATTCTCTAATCATTTTCTTATTTTGTGTCCGGCATCAACAACTATCGTCGTTGGCACGTGAGAAATCAAGTGCAGGTAGCCAGATTTCATTATTGTTAATTCCCTTTTATTTTAATTAGAAAGTGTTTTTATGAATTTCAGTCACCGCTGTTTAGAGTTTGGGATGGTTGCTTTAAATTCTTCAAACGCGTTAACATCAAGCATAAAAACCTTGAAACTACGACCAAAAAACCTCTGAAAATAGCTGGGACATAGTTATCTCCGACCGTGAAAGTGGACACTTTTTATCAACCTTACTGTTTTTGAGTTTTACTTGAAATGATGCCACGACCAGGGGAAATTTGTGAATGAGGTAGAAACATTTCCCTGATAGTAATTCCAATTAATATTACACCTGCATTTGTCTGGCATGAATTTTTGCATTCAATTTTGAACATGTATTATGTTGAGGTTCCTGAGTGGAGAAAGAATTATTTCATCAAGGACTTCACAGTCTGTACTGGGTTTGTAGAGAAATTTTCCATTTCATCTCTTTTCGGACCGTTTTCAACTCATCCGGGCCCAAAAACTCCTCTTACTTTTTTGGTTGTGGTCAATTATTGAACTCCGTCAGGAGTTCAAGTTAGCTTGGGACTGGGGGTGAGTAAACTTCAATGGATTGGCCATTTCTCATTCGTCACAACTGAGAAAACACAATCCAGACCGTATGGCAATGGTGGTTTCTCGTAAACGGCTTACTAATGAATATGAATGTAATATATTTCAACGAATCTCAAGTAGGTAATTAAAAAACTTCGAAAGACAAAAGTTTTTTCCTGCGGTGTGTCGAATCCATTAACTCTTGAATGTTGTGGGATTAGTAATGGGTAATAAATAAAAGTGATTACATAATAGTTATTTGAAATCCGGGAGTCAGTAATAAACGATTTTTCAGTTTAGAACGAATGATTTTTTCGAAATCTTTGACCTCTTACCGATGAACAGATTATATTAAAAAACAATTGTTGAAATAATTTGAAATATCGATTTTGCAAATGTATTTGCAAATGAAGTTACTGGTTGCTTTAGGTTTTCCTGGAAGTGATTTGAGTTCTCAAATTAAATGTGTTTTACATGAATTCTTGACATTTATTACAAATTATCAAACAGATTGATGAAATAAGAAATATTGCATTAACAGCAACCCAAAAAGGAAATTAAAAAGTATTCAAGAGACACTTTATTATGAGATCTTCACCAAAAAGTTTCACAAAAACGCAACAAGTGTTTTGCCACACAATGGCTTCTTCAGGCGTGTATTTACTCAATTAAAAAAATTGTTCGTTCTGTAATATTACTCAATTTATCTCCATTATGTTAACAGGAAATCATAATTCAGGTAATATTCAGTCATTCTTATATTTAAAGAATTATTTAGTTACTTGAAGTACCATTTGCCAGCAGGTAATAAAAATTTCCATCCCAAATTAGGACACTTTATAAGGGAATGATTGTACAGGAGCAAAGTACTCTTACTTCAGAAAATTTAGCAAAGTGTTATTTGAGAAAAGTTGTTTATAATTGGTGTCCCAAGTCATTTTTAATTTTTTTCATTAAAGATTTCCCAATTTGTGTTTTTTTTAAATCACCCTCAGCACTTCCATAAAGTGATCACAACAAAATCAGTTGAGCATACATTTTTCAAATTCAAAAATATTTGTGAAATTAACTCGGATTTTTAATTTTTTAGGGAATTACAAACTTTATATGTCTTGCAACGATATTCAGATGAACTTCAAAATTCCGCAAACCATATTGTTAACTAAGTAAAACATCTTTAATGCTAATATATATATTCAAAAACTTTTATTTAATGAGAACATTTTGTATTTGAAATGTTCATGNTCCTTAAAAAATTAAAATCCAAGTTAATTGCACAAATATGCATGAACTTGAACAAAGTTATGCTCAACTGATTTTGTTATGATCAACTTTTGAATAGAAAATTTTAGATTTCCTGATGATTTACCTAGCTCAGATTTATTTTCAATTCCATGAAAATTGGGAAACCCCTTGAATCCTTTGTAAACTGAAATTTTCATGGACAACCTAGAGAAAAGAATCCATACTAATGGGCTAATTAACATTTTTTCATACTCGTACAAATATGAAGATGATATCTTAGTCTGTTTTACTGGTAGAGACCACTTTCAAAGAATGATACTAAACATTATGTAACTGTAACGTACTTTGGTGATCCCACTACAAATATCACTTGGTTTTTAAATAATTTAAATAACGAAGAATTGGACGTAGCATACAGAATAATTGATATATTGAATACATTCATTATAAACTATAAAGATAAAACTCCTGTTTCGGTTAGATCCGGAGTATACAATTTAACTTTTGGATCTGGTCCAAAATTGTACATCGGACATACAGGAAGATATTTTTCCAAAAGGATGAAAGAGTATAGAAGTAGGTTTTGGAATGGGAAGGCCTATTCAACATTTCCAAACCCTCTTTTGATGAAGGGGCACGAGTTCAGTTACGATTATGACGTATCACATTTGGAAGATAAAAGTTTAATACCCAATCTTCTGAAATGTTCAGAAATCAATTAATGTGAAAATTCGGGATATTGCTCAGTGATCAAATATATTTGAATTGTTCTCCTTTATTGAATTTAGTTTACAACGAGAAAGTTGGTAATTAGAATAGATCTTAAAAGTAGGTAAAATTATGGCTCAGGTAACAATTGTGACGTCCGATCTGCCTCGTGATCTTCCCAGGTTGTATCAATACCTCGAGAGCCACATAGGGAGCATCATGATTACCGACTATTATGGTCATTAGCCTCGTTTTAGGTTAAGTTATTGAAACCAGAGCCATCTAGGAAGCGCCACCAGGAGGGCGCGCCAGTATTATCAACCAAAGACCACTCCACAAACTGTGGGGTGAGTGATTATTGAGTCCAATAATGATGTGCCCTGAGCAAACGCATTGAGCCAAGAATGACAGCCTTCTGCCTAAGATTTATGCCTTAGTGTAGCATGCTGGCATGATCTTGAGATTCGAAAGAAGAGAGAGCATCATTCCGACAAGGACTCTAATAATCAGAACATCCTTCTTGACAGAGTGATCTGGATAGAGTCCGCGAAGAGGAAATCTCGATATTTCATCCGTTTTTTTCTCCTCTTTTCTGATGATATTCGTCTCGCCAGGAGCTGAAAACTCCACGACAAATATCGTCTTGCTCTGGTGGTCGAGAAGAACTACATCAGGCTCATCAGCTTGTATGAGCCTGTATGAGCTTATATTATTATTATTATTATTATTGAATGAATGAATAAACTTGTTATTGGGGTCATCTGTTTTCCAGTAGGGGCGGAATATATTTTTTTCTGTTATGGAAATGTCCTTTGTGACTAAAAATTTGAACTTTAAATAGCTGTTCTGAGATAGCAACCTATTCGATGATATTCTTGTTGTTCCTTTCTGAATATGTGAGGCATAATGATAGTCACGAAGTAATACACTGATACAATGAAAATATGATTCAAATAATACTTTTGAATATGTATTTATGTTAAAGAAAAACATGAGTACATTTCAATTTCTGAAGAACTTGTAATCTCAGATTTTTCAATGTATTATTTGAGTTTGTTTGCGGAAATGGGGTTTTTCTACGATGATAATCCACTGACACAATTATCTTCATAATAATATAATTATTTCTGCCGACAATCATACAACTGATCTATAAAACTTTCCTTGTTCCAGTGTGATGAACAGCAGGCAATTTATAAATTTCACGTCACATGAGTATTATGATTATAATAATACAGAATCACGCTCTCACCTGGATCTGTACCGCTATTGTCCGTGATATAGGCATATCCAGAGTCGGTATCATCCACCACAATATCATACAGAAAACTATGGTTTGCGTTTGCCACATTATTAGGGAAAGTGTACGCAGTAGTAGTCGCATTTTTCTTGATATCAAAAATCACCAGTTTGGGAGGACACCTTGAAACGGGATTCAAAAGGGTGTCTGTCCTACCGCCGTCTATTATCCAGATTTGTCCTTTCGGGTCAATTTCAACGTTCTGCACGTTTTGAAGCGAATCGCAATCGTCCAATTTATTCATTTCCCAGGATGGAAACGGTTCCAACAGCGGAGAAGTGTCCTGTGTCATTCCTGCCGGAATCCTCGCCAGAGTAGCAGGAACCCCACTCTTCATCCGAGGAAGCGACAGGTAAAAATAGTCATCGAAGTGCTTGATCCCGGCGATGATGTTATTTTCCGGTATGTAGGCCCCGTTTGCTTCAGCCGCCCTGTAAACTTCCTCGGTAGGCCACGTGAAATTGATATACTTCCATTCTCTTGTCACTTTAAATTTTTCTGCGTACGCCGACAAAACACCGACCAGAAAAAATAGTATAAAGTTGTTGCTCTTCATAATTTTTTAAGCGCGCTGAACACCGTTTGCTTTAGAACTGAGGATTATTTCGTATCGCAACTTGTTTTATAGTAGTAGCGGAACTACTAACGATGCTAAATGATGAATCTGATTCAACAAGTAAACATGTTGGAGTTGTGGACAGGTATCGACGATTTTCGGAAAAACTGTATGCATCAGCATCAAAATCGAGATTAGATGTTTTTAATGAATTCCGACTCGACCACTTGTGTACATGTTTTGACATTGTAACAATGTTTCTTCCTTTGGTAGAGTTCGCTTGAAGGTCATCACAATTATTACATATTTATCGTAATACATAAATAATTCAAAATAATTCAGTTGACAGGTACACATAAATAAACATAGAAACAAGGAAATTGATTTGCCTGTGAGGCACGTTCTAACAATTTTTAATTGAATCAATACGTATCTAGCTTCTGTTTGTATCAAAANAAAGTTAACTTTTTCCAATACACAAAGATGCCTAGGAATGAAATTTTCTACCTACCGAACGCCCGTCGCGTCGTTTATACAAACAAAAAAAAATCAAGAATGCAAGAATTATATGAATCAATAATAATCTGTTATTTTCTTTCTTCATAGAAAAATTGTTTTTGTAGATGATGCAATAAATATGTTGATGGTCATTATTTATTGTGATAATCCAAATATCAGGTTGAATTTTGAATAGGTCATAACTTTTTATTTTCAACAAGAGTTCATTTCATTGCCTTATGATTTTCTGGCTGTATGGGGATGAATATTTTATAAAGAAAATTTTGCAATGTTAAATCATCGCTGAGGTGAATCCATGGTGAAAGATCATCAGTTTGTGAATTTGAAGAGGCAATCAGAAAAACAATTGTAATTTGAAAAACATTACAACGTAAATTGGCAATTCGTGCAAGTTCATTTTGTTCTTAACCTCGACATCTTCGTTATAGAAGGTCTCGTACTCACCATGGATTCAATGAAAGTACATGTCTTGACTATTATTACTGCAATTTTGTTAAACTCGAGTAGATTTACTATTAAAATAAACGAGTGTGTTTTAGCAAATATCGACAAGCAGTATAGTATAGTTCAAAGTGCGAAATTTGAGTTTGCCTTTACCTCAAATTATGATTGAGGTGCCATTCGATTTGTAATTTTACCCAGAGTGACTTGCGATTTATGTGAAGTTGCGTTAACAGATAGTTCAAAAGTTACAATTAATTTTGTTAAACAAAAAAAGAGGTGTTTATTTTTGCAAATATCCCAGAAACTACTATAGATGTTATACCAATTCTTAGTTACGATAGAGGAGTGAAAGTGTTATAAACATTATTGTAATTTATGATAAATATAAATATTGAGAAATAAAAAAAGCATAAATTTGGTGGAACCGTACACAAA